TCTTTTTACATTTTTTTGTTTTTTTTGTCTTCTTTTTTATATGGTTTGACTTTTTTTTTTTTTTTTTTTTTTTTTTGTGTTTTTTTTTTTTTTTGGTGTAGAGGTTTTGTATAGTGTTTTTTTTTTTGTTATGTGGGGGGGGGGGGGGGGGGGGGTGGTTTTGGTGGCTTAACCTTGTAGGTGACTTCCTGCTCGATTGTTTTTATGTCTACTAAATCAGTAAATAAAAGAAGTAAATGAATGAATAAATAATTGAATGCAAAAAAAAGAAACACGCACGAAAAACTTAAGCGAGTAAAAGTGACTCAAAGTTGACACACTATAAGCTATATTGTTGAAAATTAATGGAGCGTTTTACCTTTTCCCCTGGGATCGTACCATTCGTATGCACCGTAACAAGCAAAACAGTGGTAGTTGCAGTCACGCTCAGGTGGATCAGCGATCACCACTGGCCTAGAGGTAGGATATCCCCCCTGTTGAGGGTAGCTGGGTAATGGTGCCCGTTGGGCGTGGCCAGGATACCCTATACTCGAGTTGTGGTTGCCAGATACACTGTAAAGACAATCACAAATAGGTTTATTAACATTTATCTTCTTTCTGGATTTCTTGCTTTATTTAGCCATTATGGAGAGAGTTGTTATTTGGGACTGTGTTAATTCCTTAGTTTCCTCACTTATAGACGGAAAATGGTTTATTTACTTAATATGTCGAATTAACAGGGACGCCACCGGCCTGCGTAGCAGGAGCCTGTAAGTAATACGGACGTGAGAAAGAACAGGACGCCTATATTACATACAAGCGCCTGCTGAGCAGGTTAGGACGCCTCAACAGCATGTGTATCTTTCAAGTGATCTTTTCATTTTTGCATTGCAATGTGCAAAAGGTGTTGTGATGATTTATTCATTGTAATCGCGAACGAACACGATGCCCAGATGCCGCAACAGAAAAAAATAAAAAAACATAATGCATTGTAAATAATACCAATGATAATAATGATGATGATGACGATTAAATGCGCCATATTATCATTGATATAAGTATGTTATTACTATGATGATGATAATTATATATGATACTAATGAAACCATACTGATTAGATAAGAACGAATTGGTTGCGTTCAGTGCTACTCAAAGTCAGATACAGTGTGTTATTTGCGCTCCAAACGCTCACTACAATAAGACCTATAAGGCCACATACACGCCACATAATTTTAACGGTGCCAATATCTACAGTTACAAGAAGTGTGGCGAAAATAACGATAATCCAAGTAACAGACTTCAAGCTATCATTGGCGCTTTTATAAAAGGATCAGATTATAAGCTTTATAGCAGTGTGGAAGAATTATTAATCACTACTCTTATTTGAGCCCTTATATTTTTTCGATTTTTCGTGCGCCTGCTACAGACTATATTAATATTCATTTGCTTTGGCAAAATTTATAGTTTTACCTTCCAGCTGCTTGAACAGAGTTCACCTGATAAGCGATAACGCTATTAACAATATGGAGAAAAAAGAAATCATAGCACATTAGTACCCCTTAGTAATTGACTATTATTTTGAGAGGTTGAGAGGGAAATTTAGGATCTGGAGACGTGAAACAAATATCTTTAATGTCCACGAGTAATATTAATTCATGCAACAATGAAGAAGGGTTTAGTTTCTGACTTCTGACATAGTTTTTTTAAAGAATGTTTCATAGACACGAATGGATGCCTGGGGGTACTCTTAATGACCTATAGTACGTTGAGGTTCCGCCTGAATGGGGCACCTTTTTCAGGCTTTAGATATATGAAAGGGTTGGGATTTCACGAGTTCAGAAGTATATCAAAGGATAGGAAGTTCTGTCATTTTGGTCTGCAAAAGGCCTAAAAGGATTAACAAGAGTATTTTATGGCTGTGAAAAAAAACGTCTTGGTTTGAGTTTTTTAAATATATTTAAGATAGTGCATTTACAGCAGTTAAAAAGGATCCAAGGTCTATTAATTAATTAACTAAGTATGTGAAAGGGGTATCATTTGTCAATAGAACGGGAATACGAAAGGGGTACCTTTTCTAAATGCCAAAACATGATATGTTTATAGGACGTCGGGGCGGAGCCTCCCGATATAGAACTTTTTTGAGTACCGCCGGTAATGAATGCAATTTTAGGGCCAGCAGATTAATTAAGTTTGACGAGCTGCCATTCGATTCAATATTTTTCTTTTCTTCTTTACAAAACTTGTTAGGCCTGACTAGTAGTTTTTGTTTATTTGTTTCTCTTCGGCTCTTGCTTATTCTTTTTTGTACAATCAAAAAAAGGAAAAAAAAATGACCTCAGGTTTAATATCATGTGTCAGGATTTTACGCAATTTTATCCGCTCCTGTGACTGAGAATTCATGCAAATGCTAAAAAGTGAACTCGACCAATTAATTAACAAGACCACTTGCTTAACATATTACAATTTCCAACCGTCCGACATGTCATTAGTTTTCGTTTTCTCAGTACAAGTGACCTGGCTAGAGCGCTAGCTGCGACAGGTCACTCTATCCGCTGACTCTGGTCAGAAATTCGATCAGGTTATTTCTTTGATAAAACAAGTTCTGTTCATTGCTTCGGCCTGCCGACGCGATCGTGTCTGGTTTGCTTTCATATGATGACATTTTCCTGACAGAAGGGTGTCGGGAAAAACACCTCGCGCTGATCATACGTGACAAAATCCGCCGCGCCTAAGCTAATGAAGAAAAGTCTCCTGGAAGGCTCCATACAATTCCTTATAACAAAATTATAAGGAATTGTATGGAGCCTTCCGGGATACTTACAGTGCAAGCCCTTTGTGTCTCCTCATGACTCATGAATCATTTTATGACTTGTGACTTCATATTTTAAGGCAAAAAGCAAAAAGGATTTCATTCCCCGGATAATAATCAACACATGATTCTCAAACATTTATGGCATCCTTAATGATAAGGAATGCTTTTCACAAACTCACCAAGACAATGATCCTGGGATGAGGGAACCCATTCGGAACCGTTATGACATCGAAAGAGAAAGTTGCCTACTCGTCATTATGAAATGCCTTTAGGCAACCAATCTTTCTATGAAGCGGTTGCACAATCTGTGATTACTATTGAGAAAACGGTATTTTTTTCCCATTAAGAATTATCCTAAGAATTATCCAGTCCAAAATATGAAGATCAACTAATTAGTTATACATTTAGTGACAATTGGTAATACCAGCAAGAGCCCGGTAATACGTTTAATTAGAAGATCATATTACCCCATCTACTTCCGCACTTGACAAACAAATTACTTCTTTCCGAGGCGTATGGATATATCTGATACAAGACTTATAGTAATGGCCCTATAGCTGCTTTCTCTCATAGGTGACTATATTAGGTACTTATATACCCTTGCTTAATGTTATTTGTAAATGAAGTATACTTTCAGATTCAGAAACCTATAACCTCTAACATTAAGAGCATTTGGATTTACCCCTTCAAAATCGGCATCTCTTACTACTATGTTGCCGATCGCGTTCTGTAATATGAAACAAGAATTCTGGTGGCATAATTTTCTCACCCTTCATCCGAGGCAGCTATCACCGTTTTCTTCGCCACTTCAACGCCTCCAATCACTGCGCGCTCTTCGATTTCTTGAACATGAACACGATTCATTTTTCAATACCCACCTCCACACCGGTATACTAGTATTTTAGAAAGTTAGGTGTCCCCTATTAGACTGGGGAACCCCCTCTGCTAGATTTTTGCTTGACATGTTAAAAAAGTCATTATTATTATTATTACTCCACCCACAGTAATAATGGGAGGTTTTTTGGAACTCCGCTGGTAATATCATTACAAGCCTTAGAAACCCTCAGGCGATTTAGTATACCCAGCCTGAGTCGCAAACACCCTAAACCGACTGTATTGACGGACCTTTATATCAAAGGTCTAGAAGATGCGTGGGCCGGCTGCAACGCAGGCTACATATAGTACCCAGCCCACACTCCTTTGTGTCACTGTGGAAGTATTCGTCAAAAGACGCACTGATATTCATACTTTTTACCTTGCTTTTTTAAACCAGGCGAGGATCCACACCGGTTTCCACGGTTTTACAGAAATCGGTCAGATTTTTTCACGAGATATATTTTTAGTTAAAAAAAGCTATGCAACTAGAAATCTTGTTCCATAACTACAACATGGAAATTGACCATGATAAAATCCTCCAATTTGCAAGGCTTCATTAGAAGAGAATGGAACTGGCCAACATCCCGTCTGAATGACTCAGAAACCCAGGAAAGGGGCCTTTAGGTAGTGAAAATCCAAAAAATTTCCTGTGACAGCCCATGCTCCCTGATCCCCCTAGAACTCGGCGTTACGTTTCGTTAGGAAATCGGTCAAAATTTATCCTAGATCCGCCCCTGTTAACTAAGAAGGGTTGCTGCCGTCTGCTTTTTCATACACCAGCTCAATTAATAAGTCAGTATTTTGAAAAGCTATTTTACCTTAACCTAATTTATCATATATGATGGTAAAAGTGAAAAGCGGGCCTTCATAGGTAAACTTAAAAATCCTTTGAACCTTGAAGCCTCCAACTCCTTTATTCCTATGTTTTTCGTCGATCGATAAGAATTGATTGTTATATAATTCTCCCACTGGCCCGAGACATATTTTGCAAGGACCTTCTTGATCAGAGAAAACGGTAAATTTCAGGAAGAAGTTAAACTCTTGAGAACCAGTCTATTTTTGAGTCAGACCCTGAAAACGAAATGGATAAACCGACAAATTATGACGCATGGAACCGAATCACGCGTAGTAATTTATGAGGTAGCTATTCTACCTTGAATAGCATGCGTTGCAACCGGAGCTCCTGTCACTCCAGACTATGCTTAGCTTTATCTAGAAACAATTTCTCGAGTGCAGTGAGTTATTTACCTATATTTAATCCTGGTCCCCATCTGGGGAACTACTTTCGCAGAGGTGCATACGCTATACCTGAATAAATGTCGTGTACGATCTTCCGTTATAAAATGGGAGCTGCTAAAAGCTTCATTTGGACGAGGTAAACGCAAGAGGAGTCCAATGTTGAGTTGATTTAGTTGCTCTGTATTAGTAATTACAACTTCCTTCGACGCTTTACGCTAAACTGTCTGAACATTTTTATGGTTGACGGTTAAAAAAGGGAAAATGAAAAAAAAAACAAAAAAAAACGGAGATCCAGACAGTTTAAATCCTGCTATCATGTGTGGATTTACAAAGCTGAAGACGCGGTTACAAAGCTGAAGACGCGGTAGTTCGACAAATAAGTGTCTCAGCTGTACACGGCCTTCCCCTTTTTTTGCATTATATGTCACTTGTCACTGTTCCGCCTTGAAGGAGGGGTCTCAACCGCCGAGTTATTTCGAGCGTTATCAGAGGGTCTGAAAGGGGGTACCACGATAACACTAAACTCTTATTTTTTTTTGGCTTTGTGACATGAAACAGTTAAATTTTGAGTATTTCAACACTAACAGAAAAAATTCTTTGACACAGTAAATTTTTTCCAGAAAGAAGCAAAAACGGTGCATCAAGCACTTTTGACCATTTTACTACAATTCCGGATTATTTCAGAAGATTTCCGAAGACTGTCGAAGATTTTCGAAGACTAACGAGGGGGTCCGACCACTGCTGAAGTATTTTCTTTGGAAACAATAAACCGGCATTAAAAAATTGGGCAATTTAACAGTAAACACTAAAACGTATGGGCAAATAACACGAAACACTAAACCCCATTTAGACCCTCTTATCACGATCGCCAGGAGCCTTGCTAAGTGCTCCAGACTGACCTCGGAGGAGTGTAGTATATCTTGTTGAAGAACTCAACATACCCCACAGGATCGAGTTGTTCTAAGGAAAATTAAGCGCAAATCTAAGGTTAGCTACCTTACTCACATTTGTAGTTTTTTGAGCATAACTACTTACATTTGTGTTTATATTAGGTGTGCGTATGTGTGTATATTTTTGTGTTTATTTAGATGGAGGCTAACCCTGTAGGAAATGTGTCTTCCAATGCAAGATCTCTTATATCAGCGGTTAAGGCAAACTCAAAACTGGACTATTACTTCTAACATAGCCTGCGTAGCAAGCGTTTCCAGTCGAGTTATTGCTTCTTTTTTGCTCTCGTCCCAACTTTCTCGACGAACTCGCGCGGAAACGCTTGCTACGCAAGCTAGTTCTAACACGGCGTCTTCGGCGGTTTAAACAATTCAGAAGGTAAAATTAATACTCAGACACAAAATGCTACAATTCAAACAAAATTGTAATTTTTTTACCCATTACAGTATGTTGTAGGTTTTGTTATAGCATGACATGATCGCATGTTGCTGCCATTTCCACAGTACAGCTAAAAAAATTGACACGTACACCCCCGGGGGGGGGGGGGGGGGTACTCCGGATTTCAAGTTACGAGGATGATCAAAAGGGGGAAAAAGCAAAACCCCAAAAATTCCTGGACCAAAAATTAACCCCCAAAAATCCATGGCGAATTTCTAAGCCGCAAAAATTTGCAGAATGCATGAAATTTAACACGAAAAATAAGAACATTACAAATTGACTGTTTGTGTTTGTTTGTTTATTCATCATACCATCTGAATCTTCATATTGTTTTGAATACCCCAAAAAATCCTACTTAAATCAAGCCACATTAAAAAATACTTGCAAAATTTACCTCCCCCAAAATATCCCGGAATCGAAAATTTCAAACCCAAAAAATCCTCGGACAGGATCCCATAACCTGGAGCGAGGAACTTGCATGTGCTCGTGGCGTTTTCACGGACCAGTTTATTTTTGGAACGGTTTTGGCTCAAATTTAGAATATAGAATAAAAAGTCCCAGAAACCAGTCAGAAAAACCTACAGACTTAAAAATGATAATTTTTGCCTTTTAATGACGTTACGTTTCCCTTTGTGATATCTTATATATACTTCGAATGCTTTCATAGACGTGACGGAGATTCCATTTTCGGAGCAAAAAGTGCCCTAAAATGTGTCTAAAACAAAACCGGTCCGTAAAACGCTGTGACATAGGCCTAGTATGGGAGTTGCCAGCTCCGGGTGATGGGCTCCTGCCTTCGATCATCAATCATCGATCCGGAGTACCCCCCCCCCCCGGGACCTACACTACCCTTGCTACCTAGCTATGTCCGTTGGACTTCCTGCGTTTCTGAATACCAGGATAAGTTAGACCACAGAACAGGACATTATAAACAGGTAACAAAAACGCAAAATGAAACTGGAAACGTAGTAGATATTGGTTGGCCTTATTTTGGCTCAATCGACAAATGGGAGAGTCTGAATACAATAACAAAGAATCATTGCGCAAAAATAATTTCTAGTGAGAACGAATTGTTCACAGTCCCTTATTTTCATGTAAGATCGAGATCTAGCGTTTATAAAAATTGTAACGGGCACCCATCTTGGGTTTAAATAGAACCGAAAGTCTGCAAAAATAAAGTGCTACGAGGAAATGCAAGGAGAGTGCAATATGGCAGTTACTTGTCATCACCACAAATAGCAGCCAAGCAAGCTAATGCAAGGTACAGGATGATGAGTGGTATCACAATAGCGCCCACAAGAAGCCAGAACAGCAGAAGTAGTAGCACCCAACAAATACCTGAAAAATGATAAAGAAAATACTTTGATTTCAGGCAGTTCTTAGACTAAGCATCTTTAAATGCAGAGCTAAAATCCTGTTCCAGGTGTTTAGATTGAGGGGACGGGGTAAAGAAATGTGAGAAGAAGGAGAAATTAACCGTGCGCGAAACATTTCGTGGTCTTAATGATAAGGTAAAGCTCTATACTTGAACACACTTTTACCTCATTACATGGAATATAAAGTACGTCTTAGAGTAATTGATTAGATTATTACTATGAGATGGAAATAAGGGCGAAACATATGAAAAGGGTGCCAGGCATTCTTTGGTCTCACATTTTTTCGCTAGTACTTAACGTCCCTGAACGGCCCCCATCCCTCCCTCAAATATACTTATATATCTAGTCTACTTACTTACAGACGGGCATACAGGCAAACAGCCAGACAGACTACTCACAAGACAACAAACAGAAAGAGAAACAGACAGACAGACAGAGAGTAAGAAAATGCAAACACATGGACAGACAAAAAGAAAGGTAGACAGACATCAGACAGTTTGACGGATGGATCATGTCGGACAGACAGACAGACACCGTTTATTTATGCACCATAAAATCTAACTAACGGCAAGTGTGATGCTGTGGGTAAAAAAAAGGAAAAAAAAAAGATTGAAAAACCCTCAAATGTGTTGATCGTTTGTAATGATAAAAGCGTGATATCAAGGAACGTTTTTAAGTCATCGCTTTACAATTAATCGAAATTAACGTTTAATCTTATAACATTGATCGTCTGTGGAACTAAAACGTTGAACGTCTGGATCTTAAAGTAAGAATTCCTCAATCCTTCCTTGTCACTTCCTTACTGTTAAAATACCTTAGAGTATCAGGACGATAGATAAGGCCCTTTTGTATGCAATACACAGAAATATTGGTTTAAAATGTCACTTCTGAAGAAAATCTGATCAAGTCTACTGTAATATTTGTTTGTTTATCAGTTTGTTCTTGTTCAAGATATGTTGAGATAAGCCATTATACCCTTAAAATAGAAACTTCTAAACCCTTTAACATTACTACAAAAGGAACATCAAAACAATGGCTCAAGGTTGGTCTTAGGCACATAGCAGAGAAGCGTTTTACCTTTTCCCCTGAGATCGTACCATACGTATTCACCGTCACAAGCAAAACAGTGGTAGCTGCAGTCACGCTCAGGTGGATCAGCGATCACCACTGGCCTAGAGGTAGGATATCCTCCCTGTTGAGGGTAGCTGGGTAATGGTGCCCGTTGGGCGTGGCCAGGATACCCTATACTCGGGTTGTTGTTGCCAGATCCGCTGTAAAGATAATCAAATATGAGTTTATGTATTTTCTATTAAGATTTCTTGTGCTATCCAGATATTAAGAAGCACATTGAGGTGATGAGCATGCGCGCTAAACAGATAATGAGACGGTAACGCATCCCGCCCCGAAAATATAAACCTTGTGGAATGGAAGTAATTGCAAGTCAAAATAGTCACTATAGATCCTAAGTCATATCAAAGCACTTGTTTCCTTAACACCATGGAGAATTTACCCATGGTCTTGGGCAAGGAAAGCCAACTGTCGAGTAGTTTTTGGGAGTTGTGTTCGTCCTAAGGATTTTTCACCTATTATTTATTAATATGTCGACTCTGAAAATATCTTTAGTTACCAATAACTTCGGGACAGTCTCTTTCTGTGGCAAAAATAACAAGAATCGAGTCCTATCAGCTTTGATTAGAACATTTATAAAATTATGAATATTATTATATGTTTTTCTTGCGCCTGCTATGCCGACAGTTAATGTAAATATTAATTTGCTTTATCACAAATTCATATTCTTACCTTCCAGCTGCTTGAACGGAGTTCACCTGATAAGCCAGAAAACTATTAACAATGAAGAAAAAATAATGCATATTTACCTTTTCAAATGTATGAGTAACTGAGATTTACTCTAAACAAAGATGACAGTGAAAATGGTTTGTTAAATTAGAGACAATTTGATTGTTAAGTATTGGTCACGCAGTTTTCTCATTCGTGAAAAATATAAATCGTATCACCTTCAAAATGAGGCCAAGTGCACAGCCTCTTTCATGAACATGAGTTTTATTTGCATGAGAATGAAAATCATTTCCATATCAAAGGCTGAGCACTTAACCTCGTTTTGGTACAGAGACTCGGGGGAACTCGGAAATGGCCTATTAGTTTTCCCGCCTTAGAGGGTGCTGCGGTTTGCCAAAGTGAATGAATCAAAAGCGAACGTTTACAACACCAGTTCTGCAGAATCATGGCTTGAGGTTTGCAGACAAAAAGAAGTTATTGAGAGTCATAAAAAGCGATAACTGAACAATAACAACAACAACTCAAAGAAGAAAACGCAACAGAAAGAGTCAAGCCTTTTGATACGACAAGAAATTCTCCCAAGGGATCGGAGTTGGTCGCTTACATCAGCGATTTGATTATTACGTACTGTTCGAAACAAGAACGACAGTGAAGGCCACTTCTCAAACTCATTAATAATTCATAAAGAAAATTCAAACGAAATTGATGTTTAATGAGTGTTTGGATATCAGATGAAAAACTGCTCATTTTTGCATCCTTAATTTCTCCTTCTAAAATGATTTTGTCTGAGAAGAAATATCAAACATTCGACACAGTGTTTCATCACCAGATGAAACACCTCTAAGTTCGTCAAAAATACTCCGCTGCGCGTCGTATTTTCAACTCTCTTCTCGGTGTTTCATCTGGTGATGAAACACTGCATCTCATGTTTGATATATTACATGAACCCTACTCCTGACGTTCTTTGATGGCCAGTTTTGAACGGGTAGTTTAAGAAGAAGAATACAGATTTATGAATATGAAAGATGCTGACTTTGAATAGGCACGCATCATCTTTAGAATCAAAACAAAAGGATCCCGAAAGAGAAAGACAAGAAAATATACCTGGCAGTTCATGTGCTCCTATAGCCTGCCGGCTGTTAAAGAAGAGGAAATTGAAAATACTGCATGACAAAGAATTGAGGGTCGACCCCTGAGAAAGAGCCTAATCCATGATAAAAGTGAGTAAGTTAATCTTTTCTTTCTTGCGATGAGTCTTCTCTTTTCTACAATCAATAGTACGGTGCTCGCCGTTAAGGGTTACTCCACTGACTCCGGTCACTGAACATTCACTTGGAAAATTATCTTGAAACAAGTTGATTCATTGTCTTAATTACCTCGTGTATTTTTCTTTCGATTTGTTGTACAGCAAAGAGGATTTCATTCCTCATTTAATAACCAACCTAATGATTCTTGAACATTACTGGCAACCTTATTGTTTTAAGGAATGTTTTTAACCGCGGCAGTGTTAGCTCAGTCAGTAGAGCGTGTTACTGCAGAGCGGGAGGTCCGGGGCCGGACCAAAACTCAGGGTCTTAAAATAACTGAGAAATGAAGGTACTCCCTTTGCACTGCAAGCGACTAGACCTTCGTGTGGCTCGGATGACCACATAAATTGGCTGTCCCGTCTCCAGTTGGAGACGTAAAAATAGTGTCCCCAATTGGTACTTTCGTGCTGAATTCATTGACACTGAAATAAAGTGCTTTTTGTTTTCTTTGCCAATTGATTCCGGGAAAAGGTAACAATGTGGAACAGATATGATATCGAAAGTGAAAGTTCCCTATTCCGTGTAAGGAATGTGTTGAGGTTAAACACTGCCACTACATGATTATTTATTTTGATTTTCAATTCAAAAAACTGTGTGTCGTTCTTAAACACGCTGTTAGTTTTCACGGTTCCGAACGTATATAAACAGTTTTATTTATCATACGAATGCCTTTCGACAGACCATTTTTCTCGGAAGCGCTAAAGGCTGTCGTACTAATCGGCACTGGCTAAATAACGCAAATGAATTTTATTTCCGCTCATTTATCCTTTCCAAAATATGAAGATCGACTAATTAGTTATAAGCATTACAAATTTAGTGATTAGTTATACATTCACTCAGAGGAGAACGTATCACTGAATGAAAACGCAATATATTACTTCCGCCCTGGTCCAATAAACAACTTCCCATATCGCGGAGATTTATGAATGTATTTGCTGCAAGGCTTACAGTATTGTCCCTGCAGCTTCTTTCTATCTGGTGACTATTAAGCACTTGTACTTAACAACACAACACTTGCATAGTATTCTCTAAAAGAAGTATTCTTTCTGATCCAGTTCTTAAACATTCTGAACGTTTCGATTTGCCACTTCAACTGCGGTATCTACTGGGCTGTCGATCGCGTTCTGCAATATAAATTAAAGAATTCAGGTGGCATCGCATCTCACCCTCCATCCGTGGCAGCTATCACCGTTTTCTTTGCAACTTGAACGCCTCCAACAACTGCACGCTCTTCTCGGATATGAACAACGGCATCTTGTCCACGGCTCATTTTCAATGTCTACGTCCGCACTAGTATACTGTTAGCTACGGGGAGGCTTCTTGGAACTCCGCTGGTAATATCATAAGCAGCCGTAGAAACTCTCGGCTCACCCTATGCAAGGGAGTCCGGATTCCGGAATCTCGGAAATTTTTGTTTGTGGAATTGGGAATCCGGGGAATTTTACTTGTGGAATCCAGAATCCAGAACGGTCTTGGGGTGCGTTCTTTGGGATGATCCGCATCAAGATCAACTACCCGAGATCACTCGGATCATGGTAGATCAAGTGAAGTGAAGAGCCCTTGTCCAGAGTGGATTCATCGGTTCATTTGATCTACCATGGTCGGAGTGATCTCGGATCACTGATCCTGATCCGGATCAACCCAACTCACGCCGTGTATTCGGAATTCCAGGTACTGGATTCTGGATTCTTTGTCAGTGGAGTGGATTCCGGAGTCCAATCATTAGGAGGATTCCGCATTCCTTGATCTGTATTCCGAATTCCAAAACCCATGATTCCGGATTCTACAAGAACAATTTCTCCGGAATTCGGATTCCCTTACAAGGGGCGAACCAAAGGTTTCTATGGCTACTAATGATAATACGGGACTTTAAGATCCAGTGACGCGGACGGCATCGAGAACTTCAAAAAAACCAATGGGTTTTATAAGCAAAACAATAGCTTTGCACGTGCATCACACCTTTTTGTACATTTCTTTTCCCGTTTTTGCACGACTTCGATGTGAAAATGCCTTATTTCGAGTTTTATGGAGAACGTAAACAAGCAACGACGAAATTTAATTTCCTTCTCTGAACTTGGATATGGTCTCAAGGAATTCAACTTCAGAAGGGTTAGCCTAAATTTGACAAAGTAAGTGGGTAGGAATAACTGCGATGAAGACTGAAAGAACGCAAATTCACTTTTTAAGCGACGTTCTCGTTGCCCTCGCGTCTTTGGTTCTTAAAGTCCCTATTGCCAGCGGCGACCTCGGTGCAATGTACCCAGTCTATACTCCTCTGTGTCTTAATGTGCGAGTATTCCATGCTAGGAAAAACACATCTCTATATTTTTTACCTTGTTGTTTTAAAAAAAGGAAGTGCCGTGGGGGCTGCCTGTTTTTTATACACTAATTAAATTATTAAATTATCATTTAAAAACTGTTTTATCTTAACCCACTTACAAATGTAGTAGTTGAAAGTGAACCTTTATGAGTAAACTTAAAGTACTTTAAGATACATGCAGTCCCCATGGCCAACTCTCTAATTCCGTATGTTTTACGAATCGCAGATCGACATGAAGATATTAGATTTTTGAGTGCCATATTTGCCTTTCGCCGGCCCTAAACATATGTAGCAAGGACCTTCTTAAATTGGAAAAATGTTAATTCTAGGGAAGAGTTAAATCCTTGGAAACCAATATATATTTTAGGATTCGAGGGATACAGACCCTGAAAACGAAAATAATGAATCTTAAAATTATGACTCGCCGGTAACAAAAGCTATGTTTTTAATGGCGGAATAATGACTGCTA